GTCACAGTCGGCGGCAGAAATTCGAAAAATCAAAATTTAAATTTTTGAAATCTGATTGTATTTTTGGATTTGGAAGGTCCATTTGCTCCTTATAGAAGCTAATATTGCTGCATATTCCCATTGAGGTGACAAGAATTAGCAAAATAGTGGTTCGGGCGCTTTTCAAAAATAGTACCGGACGCTGTTCCTCTTATGACGTCATAACTCCGTGACCTGACCTGACCCGGTCAATTTTCTTGCACCACACGATAGCCAATGCTTGCCCCAACATGCATGGGAAGTTTCATCATGATCCATCAAACAATGTGGGTATCACCGGCAGAAAACCTAGGGATTCGGCGCACACGTTTGGTAACTGTCGGCCGGAGGCTGTACCTCTTATGACGTCATAACTCCGTGACCTGACATGACCCGATCAATTTTTTTTTCGGCAAAAGATGCGCAAAGGTTGCCCCAGAGGGTATTGAAAATTTCAGCCCGCTACGACAAGCCGTTTGCGTGCACTTCGAAAAAACCTCAGGGGGGGGGGTTGATACAAACCCCCCCCCCCTAGGCGTTCTAGGGCTAAGGAGGGAAGGAAGTCGGTGACGGTCAGGGGCACTACAAGCAGAACAGTCATAAGCTGGTGACAGGGCTGACATACCATGTTTTGATAGCATGACTGAAACAGACTTTTTGGGTAGCCAGGAAATCGCATGCGAGAGCCTATTGAAATTCTTACATCGGCCTTTATATGCACCAGTCGTATACAGGTGCGGGATTTGGCATACGATTTCCAGACAATCGAAAGACTGTTTGGAGCCAACGAAGGAAGGAATGAGTGAGTACTAAGTTGACAGCATTAATTTGGTTCAAGATGATGATGCAGAAAACTTAGTTATTTAACCCTCGCCGGACCTATTGGTTTTCTACATACGCCCCGGCCGAGGGGGGGGGGGGGCGGGTACGACCCCCCCCTCGCCGTTTCGCCCCTGGTGGAGCTAGCGCGTCGCGGAAAAAACGAGCGTGTGCGCCGTTACGAGACGCAGAGATTGGTACCCGATTTTAAGGTCCTAGGTCAACCGGTGACCTCTGAGGTCAGGTCAAGTGCCCCAGGGTACGGTTCAGTTTTTGGTGAATAACTTCGCAAAAAACGGCCGCAGAGCGCCGATTTTGGCAGCATCGTGTTCGCCTCGCTCAGGCGCGTCGAATGATATACTTTTTGTCCGGGTCAGGTCAACTTGGGGTGTTGACCTCAGGTCAAGGTCAGGTCAGCACCCCCAGGTCACGAAGTTGGTCGAAAGAGGTCATGTCGCATATCATTCGATTCGGCAGGCCTTCCTGAGTCCATTGGTGCCTTTCCCGACTCGCTAGCTCAATTTGATCAAGAGTTATTGACGAAAAACTAATTTGACCTTGATGACGTCATAAATGACGTCACGCAAGGTCAACATTGCAAAAGTGACGCATCTAACCTTGCAAGGAGTGTATCAAATCACGATTCTGTGTGCTTGAGATAGTTGGAGATCGTTCCCGGCGCCAGAATAGCAGTTTGAATTTTTCCCCATTGACTTATAATGGTGAGGTCACGAAAATGACCTGACCTCATATGACCTTTAGGAAAAATCCGAGATATACAAGTTGTGGGATTCATAATGGATACTAGATCCTGCAAGTTTCATTTCCCTGTGACATCTCCTCTGGCAGTGAGGGCGTTGCGAAGCTGCGACATCTGAAGACCGTGCAGAGGTTCACTTATGACGTCATAGGTCAGTGACCTGACCTGACCCAAAAATGCGGTTGGTGTCAAAAGATCCGGCTTGGATCAAAGGTCAGGTATGCCAAGTTTCAGCTCTCTATCGCCAGCGTGTTCGGAGCTATCGCGAAAAAACCCTATGGGGGGGGGCGGCACCCGCCCCCCCCCCCCCTCGGCCGGCGAGGGTTAAATCTAAATATCTTATGACGAGAGCGATTGGCATTTTTAGTATGCAGTGTCTTTCATTGAAAACAGGTTGGAGCGTTTCAGTCTTTAATTTAGTGGTCGCCGCTTACTAATCATGCGGCATACACGCCGCACATAACCGCCAATGCCGCAACACAGCTTAGATTTCGAAGTAAGCATTTTGTCTCACCCACGATCGCGTCCGTATTCGCAATTTCGAGCGGCAGAGGGGCGTGTCTCAGAAAATGGAGCATCCATGGTCGCATATGTATACGGTGCCACCACCGCGGTGTTGGGAATGGCCGGTCGTCGTCATGTAGAATGTTTGGACCCGGAGACTGGCCGCACTCGTCGCACTCATGTACGTTTCCTGAAACCAGTCTACCAGCGAGACGTTTAAGCTATTGTTCCCTTGCGTGTGCAGTTACTGGGGTTTTTGGCTTCATGTGTGTTTGACGTGCACGCTGTTAGTGTGTTTTCATTGTATGGAATGTTTGTAATATTGTGCAAGATCGCATATTTTGTTGCCAAAATCGTCAAGAGGGGGGAGTGTTAGCCGTCCCTGGGGCGGCGCTGTGTTTGTCCGCCGCGCTGGTTGACCTGGCTGCCCCTTGCGATCACGTGATGCCCGGAGGCTGGCTGGGCCGTCCGGCCGGGGCGCGGTGCCGGTGCTCAATACACGGCAGTGTGCTGCGAGACTCAGACAAGGGCGTTTTTTGCTGGGAAGTTACGGGAGCGCTAATGGGAGACTGTGACAGTATCCTCTACCTGGAAGTAGGCGCTACGAACATTTGCTTGGCCAGTCGATCGTAAAATGCAAATATTTGCCTATAACTTATATGGATAGGAAAGAATGGAGTATAATGTGTTAGTTATTTTGTGATGTTTTTATGTAGCAGCCATTGACCTTCTATAGTATCAATGGTTCGAAACGTGTTTTTTCTTTTGGCATGATAATGATTATACTTGTAATAAGGTGGAATCTTTGGCACATAAATAAAGACAAAGAACACCCAAGTGTAGGATTTGCTTTGGCTTCCTTTAGTTTATGAGCAAAAGGTTACCATTCCATCTTACTTCCATTAGCTTTCACTTAAATACTATTGTGCTTCAATCTCAACAAGGGTGGTCAGAATGGGAGTTCTTTTTTATCTCGCATAAATAAATACGTAACAAGTTACTTTATCCTAAGTTATGGATCAATCGATCAGATCTAAATCCATCGAGATTTTCGACAAAACTACTGCGTTGACTTTGTTCTATGTTGTTATTCACATTATTATTTAGTTTTATTACATTTATTCTGTTCCGTTCCATGACCGTAAATTATTGTTCAATATGTGTCATGTTCTGATAACAATGCAAGTTTGTTTTGTTTGTTTAGTTGGGTTAGGCCCTTTCGGTCGACAAGACCATTGCAGAGCCGGAAGGATGATAGGAATTAGGGGGAGACATTGGTCTGGGCAGGCACCCTAGTGAGTCGCCGGGGCTGAGCCCGTCCAGAGGACAGGCCACCCAGCCCCAAGGCACTCACTGCACCCGGCTACGGGGTGCGCTCCCTCAGGAGTAGCGGTGCCGCTCCAAGGGAGCAGCCCGCAGGAGATTAAGTTGCCTGTCCAGTCCGGAGGGGGGTTGCGGCGTGGAGGAGAAGGATTTCAGTATGCTGAGGATAGAAGCATGGAAAGGTGACAATGCAAGCAGTCGCGCTCATCCTTTAGATTGGCTACGTCTGTCTTTTCGTCGAGAATAAAACGGTTCCAAGGGTGAACCGGCCACCGGGGGATCGGCCGGGCCGGTCAAGTTATCCACTCGTGCTCGCAGACGGCCCGTGCCCCCGGGCGACAGGCGCCGCAGCGGGGTGGAAAGAGTAAGGGAGAGCGGCACCCCACGCGACCTGCCCGGTCACTCTCTCCTGGCCCACTGCCGTCACGTGCTCTGGGGCTCTCAAACCACCGACCTCCCGGCCTTCAGTTCGCCGGGCCGCCGCAGTCCATGCTGCGGTACTTTCAAGACAGACTGTACATATGTTGCTATTAGAGGTCACTGGTCATACCAGGTCAGGTCACAGGTCAGGTCATCAAAGGTCACCAAAGGTCACCACATGAACCCAACGTTACTAAGGTTGTGCGATGCATGTTTTATGGCCAGTTTTTTTTATTTCCAACTCAATTGTGTTGGTTATAAGACCATCAGGTACGGTTTAGGTCACTTTCTGGTGGAGGTCAGGTCAAGGTCAGGTCAAAAAAGGTCAAATTTCAAAGTTGATATTTTTGCATAAAACGGGTATGATTCGATGCAGCTCGTCACGGGGAGTCTAATGGCGGTCATTGTTCTGCGCTAAGAGGTCTAGAATTGCTAAAAAGTTAGTTTGAAAATTTGACGTCATAACTTTTGAACAGTTTTTTTTTTTTCGCTATAACTTGGCCAAAAAAGAGGTATCGATCTCATATTTGGTATGTAGATAGAAGCCGGTTGGGACTATCACATATAGTCCGTTTTTTTCGAAATTCAAAAAACTTTTAGGATTTTTCGGCTATTTTATTCAAAAAATCTATTTTTTGATTTTTGGGTGTCAAAATTCAAAAATTCCAAAAATCCGAGATAGCAGTTTTGTAGCACTCTGAATTCTACTCCTTGTATGTCTGAAACATTTTTATGTATCTCTAAAGCAGTAGGCCTGACAGCTCTTCTCGTGAAACCTTTTTTTGGGGGGTCGAAAATGGCAGAAATGACGTCACTCTGATGTCATTAGCGTCCAACCTATCATAGCCTTTGGAAAAAAATGGTCACAATGTGCAATAGCTGTTCACGGGAGGGTACTGAAAGTTTGGTGACGATCCGCGCAGCGGTTCTCGAGATATATCGAAAAAAAAAAACTAAAGGGGGACAAAAAAATGCCCCCCACCGCCTGGAAGGTTAATGTCTTAGAGATAACATTTCTCGTCGTCGGTCCCATGTTGAAAAGTAAGAATATGCATGTATTATTCCGTGTTAGTTGGAAGGTGTCACAATCGGCGAGACATCGAGGTTGTTCCACACTACGGGACGGCTGATGTTCTTAAAAAAAAATCCTTTTCAGCCTGGATGCCGTACCGGAGGGCTCCGTGAGGAGCCTGATCGAAGAAATGATTCAGAAAGCACCAGGTGACAGACCATCAAGCAAGTACATGGCCAGGCATCCGGCCTTCTGGGAGCCGAAGAAGATGGAACTGTTTTACCAGGTTAGCTTTCATCGAGTTTGTTTTTTTCTAGCAAAAGCTCCGAGGGCCGTCAGGCCCTGTAACAAATGTATAAAGTAGGTACTCGTAAATAAACAATTTCTTCTTCTGTGATAGTCTGTTTTGGGACCTCTTGTTCGAGCCGTATAACCAACACGGTTTTTCTTTTCTTAAAGTATGTATTGTAAATTTGACGATAGAATCCAAAAGTAATAAACAATCGGCCGAGACTTTGAATAACGGTACGTCAGGCCACTACGTCGGTTGGCTTTCGAATGTTCCTTTCACAGCTCCTGCTCGGCGTTCGGCGTCGGCCGCTATATCCAAACGTCATACACACACGTCATACATATAGATGTACCTACGTCATATCATAGCACCAATCAGAAGTGGGCCAGGACAGGCATCACAGGTGAGGAGCGAGGACCATATAAGGATATTGTTAGTGGGTTAGGGGGCTGGACAGTAAGTACAGAGGGATGCGGAAGACGGGGTAGGAATGAATTTCGTTACAACACAACGCGAGGTCTTTAAAGCTGAAATTTTGACCAAAATTTTCGGCTTGGGATACTCCTAATATGATGCATGATATAACGTACACAACACACGACACAGCGCAAGCATCACATAACCCGCGCCCCGTAGGGCTATCGGCGGCCCCTACCACCCGTAGGGGAGGGGCCGCTTCGGCCCCCCCCCTAAGATCTCGGAAACTTACCGGCCGATTTTCAAAGTTCAAACGGTGTTTGATAGCCCCACCGGAGAATTACCTTGTGACCAAATTTCATTGATCTAGGTCAAACCGATGACGTCACAGGTCAGGTCAAAGGTCGGATTTTCACCGTTCACAGGCATTTCAAGAAATGTGTTGTGAAATCGAGAAAATTGGTAATTTTTGAAAACCATCGATGGTACATTGTTCGTCAAACACATACTTTGCTATCTGAGGTCACTGATACCAGGTCAGGTCACAGCGAGGTCAGGTCACCGGGGGTCACAAGATGAAAGTGTGGTGTGATACATGTTTTATGGTCCATTTTACATGACAAATGGGATTATGTGGTTTAGACAGCCTTTGGGGCCAGTCTGGGTCACATTTTGCTGAAGGTCAGGTCAAGGTCAGGCCAAATTAGGTCAAATTTCAAAGTTGATATTTTTGCATAAAATAGGTATCGATTCGATGCAGCTCGTCACGGGGAGTCTAATGGTGGTCTTTGTTCTGCTCTACGAGGTCTAGCACGCGCAGTGGAAGGGGGGGGCGGATTTCGCCCACCCCTCCTGTTTTTCGCCAATAACTGGCGCCGCAATCAACATATTAATGTGAAATTTTGGCTACCTGCCCAGAATTGAATTGCGGATCTTCTCGTGCAAGAAATAAGAAAATCGGTTCACAACTTTTCTAGTGAGAGCGATGTAAACTCAAACATCCTGCCGCCGCGGCGCCGCGGCGGCGCGGCGGCCGGCGCTAGCCGTTACGCGCCGCCTGAATTGTAGACTGTGCCGGGGCGGGACGGTTCCGTCTTTACATCGCGCTCCTTACCGCTGATTATATTAGATTCGCGTCACATTTGGTGAGAAGACTGAGAAATGTACAGGGAATCATATGGTCAAAGAATTTTGAAAATCGGCCGGTAACAACTTGAGTTATGAGTGTGTAAACACAAAATTGTGATTGCCGCGTTTCCCGCGTCGGCCGATCCCGCTTCAGCCGGCGACATCTTACCCTTAGCAGGCTTCTAACTGCCATATTTATTGTTGGATTAACTAGAAATTCACCTTACATACTCACAAATGTTTGGTCTTTCGTATGGTGAAAGAAAAAAGAAAATCGGCCGGTAACTTTTTGAGTTATCGGCGTGTAAACGCAAAAAAGTCGCTCATATGGCAAATTTGACCACATTTGACCTCATTTGACCTTGAAGATATTGACCTAGGGTCATGAAATTCACACACAACAGAGTTCCCCATGGCCCCCACCTACCCTCCAAATTTCGTCTTTCTAGCTCCAGTGGGAGCTGAGATCTTAGGGGGGGGCGACATCCGCCCCCCCCTTCCACTGGGCGTAGTACTGGCAACCCTTCCACTGCGCGTGCTAGAATTGCAAAAAAATTGAGTTTGAAAATTTGACGTAATCATTTTTGAAGTTTATTTCGCTATAACTTGGCCAAAAAACGAGGTATCGATATGAAATTTGGTATGTAGATAGAAGACGGTAGGTGCTATCATATATATACCGGTTTTTTTCGAAACTCAAAAAAACTTCTTTGATTTTTCGGCTAATATATCCCAAAAAAATGTTTTTTTTTATTTTTGGGGGTCAAAACTAAAAAATCTCAGAAATCCGAGATAGCAGTTTTGTAGCCCTGTCACTTCTACACCTTTTACAGGGTGGAAAGTAATTACGCGAACATACTTTTTCGTCTTATAGCAATGGAAAAAGTGGCGGTGACACGAAAATTTCATCCTTTCATATATTCCTATTTATGTGCGATGCACTGACAAAGGCGTTCAGGCATAATTGACATGAGCATGTCAAGCACTGTTGGCCAAAGCCTAGTCCACGCCTCCTGGAGCTCTCTGGTGAGGCAATTGATGTTGGTGGCTACTAGCAGCTCTTAGACGCTCTCCTGAAGAGTCGCCTGGATATTTTTGATCAAATTGAGGTCTGGGCTATTCCCAGATTGACCATCATATGCCCAGAAGAAGAACAGGTTCTCAAAGCACCAGTCTTGCGCCTTTTTGGTTGTGAGAGGAAGGACTTTATCAATCATGAAGAAGAGTTTCTTTGCGTCGGGCACAAAAGTGCGCTCAATCATTTTGCCCCTTTTGGTGCATTGGTGGATGATAAAGAGACTCGTCTGGAAGGATGTTCCACTAGTTGTATACTTTATTTTTGGTGGCCTTTTTGGTCACTACATGCAATTCTGACACCATCCGCGCGCTCATAACACGCTGATGTGTGTTCCTTTGCCGGATGTTTGAGGGTTGGGACGGGCGGGACGTCGGACGCATCAGCAGCCCCCAACGCAGTTGTTCTGCAGGTTTGACGGATGAAATAGCTTCGAAGATGTCTCACCAACCACAAAGCCAGTTGCCTGTCCTCCTCTGTTCAGGTTTGGCGGTCTTTAGAAAACTTAAATTGACAATCCTGCTGTTAATTCATGAATTTTGGCCATCTCGATTGTTTGTACGGCTTGATTTTCGAATTTTCACGGATTTATGTATGAATCGTGATATCTTAGATCGGGTGCCCGGCCATAGTAAACCATTTCGCCAGTTTTCGGGTCGACTGTTGTCGTTTGGTCGCGGAAATGGTGACCACCCATTCGGCGCCTGAATTCGCCGAGGTTTTGCTGCCGCCAACGGCTTTGCTTTTTAAGTCCTCTTAAGTTTTATTATGCTTCAACCAAACGTGTAGTTGATTAATGCTGGTGCCGAGACCGTTCCGAGTCCCTTCCGCACCAATCCAGCCAAAATAATCACAAACGCTTTCCCTGGCAACACCAAATTGCGATCTTTGCCCATTGTGGTCTTGTGCAGCGTATGGCGTTTGCACCATTCGAAGTCGAGACGTGTTAAAGACCTTCCAAGTCATTTTTCAAAGTAAGGTCACTTTTGGTAGATGAGGCGACAACAAACACGACCAATCATGAACCATGACATCCCGCGCTCATACAAAATCTCCACTGACGGGCGAAATTGTAAGAAAATACATGTTCGCGTAATTACTTTCCACCCTGTATGTCTTGATCATTTTTCTGTATCTTCAAAGCTGTAGGCCTGACAGGTATTCTCGCGAAGGTCTTTTTTCGGTCGAAAATGACAGAACATGACGTCATTCTGACGTCATTTGTGGCCGACCTTTCATAGCATCTGGAAAAATTTTTGATCACAATGTGTAAAATTGATGCCCGGAGGGTTCTGAAAGTTTGGTGGCGATATCTTCAGCCGTTTAGGAGACATCGACGGAAAAGGACAGGGAGGGGCCGTTTCGGTCCCCCACCTAAGGGGCGCGGGTTAATTAATTAATACAACAATATACACAGCACAGCAACACACAATTTTCCCGTTTTCCTCGATCGCTGTAGTCCTCGTAGATATAAGTCCGTAGAGTATTCATCATTGTCCGCTTACGAAATATAGTCTACTGTCCCACTCGTGCACATCGATTCGGTTCTCGCTTCACAATCACTGGTAAGATTCCGCTGCGGGCACATCAGTTCAGGGAGTTCAGAGAGTTCAGAGAAATCAGAGGGTTTAGGTCACCTTTGACGCTGCTGTCTGACACGTGTTTGTCAGTCCATTGTCCATTGACACCAGATCGTGTGTCAGATGTCGACACGCTGTCGCCAGATGATGTGTCAGATGTTGACACATTGACGTTCTCACGTCTCGCGTCTTGTTGTGGGTCGCCCGTCCGGTGTCGGGCTGACCAGACCACGCGTCAGCGTAAGTTTTATCGGGGCCCCCGGACGTGGGGTGTCCGATGCGGGGCGGCCCGATCTCAGTGGCGCTGACTAGCACCGACGGCGGCTCGACCGAGTGTGGGAGCGCCGCTACCGGTACACCTCTGCTGCGGAGAAAGAACTCCTCTGGAAAATATTTGTATCAGACATCTGCGGATTTCTGAGAAGCGAGGGTCGGAGACGGTTTTAACCATTGAAAGCACGAGGGACTTCGGTCCGTGAGTTTTTACCGGGGCTTGATATTTGGAGCTACACTTGACGTTTCTTTAACAATAGCGCTGTCAGGGGCAGGATTTTGAGCGGATACTTTCTGGGGTCGGATCATAACGGGTTTAAACACATGACATCGGACGTATAGAACAGTTAATAGCACTAACGACACCACAATACACGTTGTGACCGAGATGGCGGGGATAACGACAGTTTTATTATGCTGAGCATTGCGTACTCGAATCTGCTGAATATGTTTCTTCAAGTTAGACAAATGGACACTTTTGTCTTAAAGTGGGGGAATAAAGTTTACTGCTTCGGGGAGTG